CTCTCTCTCTCTCTCTCTCTCTCTCTCTCTCTCTCTCTCTCTCTCTCTCTCTCTCTCTCTCTCTCTCTCTCTCTCTCTCTCTCTCGGTCTTCTTCATGCATGCGCTCTCTATCTCTCTTTCTCTCTCTCTACCTGAGAATCTTGACTCTGAATACACCGGCTACTACCTAGCTCTGTCTCCTACTACTAGCCGCCTTCCCTTCACAGTACAGCGCTGCCCAGCAGGGCTCTCGCGCATGCCACTCGCAGACAGCGCACAAGGGCTTCAGCAGCACTTCCACACCTCTCACGAATGAGCAATCTATCTGACATGTGGCTGCCCAGTCCTTATATTGACTTGGAACGAGTCTTCACTCTTCCCAGCCTCTGCTTCCTTTGGCTTGACTTGCACTTGTTACCACATGCCCATGGCCTGTTTGCTTCAGAATGTCAAGGCCTGGTACGTTCCCGAATTTCCGTTGGTGTGCTGCTGCTTGGGTCTGTGAGTCATGACTTTTCGTCTGTGGAACATGACTTTTGACTGTGGGACATGACTCTTGCCTCTGGGACACGACTTTTGCCTGGAGAAGTGTCCTTTGCCTGTGGGATATGACCTTGCAATATGAGACGTGGCTTTTGCTTATGGAATGCAACTTTTGCCTTTGGGATGTGACTCTTCACCGGTTACCTGTTGGACTTGACCCCTGGGGTACCCGACTGTGACCTTTCTGAAACTGGCCGACTTGCCTCCTTTTGGCCCGAGACTCTGACCCTGAGATTCGAATTTGGGGTCTGCATCGTGGAATGCCTTTCATGTTTGTGTTTGTGCTGGTTGGTGGGCTGTTAGCTCGCCATGTCTTCTAGCGACCACCATTTCCACTGGAGGCTGCTGCCCTGTAGCTCCGCCACTTTCCCCTTCCCTATAACGTTGTTGATAAATTCTTCCTTCCTTTGTTGGACCTTCTCTGGAGAGCTTGCCATGCATTTGCGTGTTAATAAGGCACAGGGAGGAGGTAAAGGCGGAACTCAAGACCATGTTGAGGATGGACATCACAGCACCGGTTTCCGGATTTCAATTTTTGTGTTGCATATGTTTTGTAATTCTGTTCTTTCAGGTCGAGGTTGCCACGGACATGTTTGACATCATCATGTATTCATTTGATGCATGGAGTTTTGGGGAGATGGAGAATCTGCGGTTCAAGAACCGTATGCGTATGGGTAGGTTTGAGGAGGTGCCGCCAAATCAGAATTTCTATGAGGTCATGCAGCCAAGTGAACCATGGCGGTGTGAGGAAGCACTCGACTGGATGGCTCGCTGGCAAACAATTGGAAAGACCAATCTCACGAAGGCGATCGACGTGGCCTTCAGACGAATGTCAGCAGACTGCATATATCTGTTTTCTGATGGCAGAGCAGATAAGCCGATGCTGGTGAGCCTTCCAGAATCCAGAGGAAAAATTTGCTCCCAGAACCTCTAGGTTATCTACAAAGTTACAAACCCTTCCCCC